CTCCTTGGTCATTGTCCAACTCTCTGATGCATAACAAGTGACTGCAAAGACCATGGCCTGTATCAGACATACCTTAGTCTCCAGAGAGACACCAGTGCTCTTCAGTACTTTGAAGAGGTCCTTAACAGCAGACTTTCCCATGGCAATACGCCCTTTAATTTCCTGGCTACTGGTGCCAAGATTCTCACCACTGGGCCAGTTGGCAGCATCAGGATGGATGGTGAAGAGACTGAGATCGTTCACAGCTTTAGTTTGCTTAGTTTAGGCATATGATTATGGATTAAAATATCACGTAGTGCAGGAAACAAAATGCAGACCCAAAGTAGTCAACTAGGTAGGAAAGGTGGTGTTTTTCACTCTGTCTGGGAATGAAAAGAGAGGGAAATGCTGGGCTGGCACCAATATGGGTTCAGGCCTTGAAACAAGACAACAAGGACAAGAAAGGCTGATACCTCTCACCTGTTCCCATGGTAACCACTGCTTTGATTGGTAATAGAAATGAGGAGTTTCTGGAATAGGTCTGTTTCCTGCTACTTCTTGCCCTTTAAAAATAGTACAATAGTGGAACTTCTTTTGATTATATATATGTACAGGTGGGTCGTCATGAAGTAAAATGTGTTTGTACTGCAGGTGAAAGCTATAGTTCTGAAAAAGGGTGGAAAGGCAAGGATTCTCCCAATCTCTAACTATAAAACTTCAATTAATCATGCTAGAGGATAATGTGAAAAATAACCATATATCTCAATATTTACCAATAAGACTACTAGGGGAAAATCACTTTGTTATTGGAAATATATAATATAAATATAGTATTAACATCATCAAAACTAAAGGCTTATGAAAACTAAGAAAGATCAAAGGACATACAAGTAATTAATTAGCATTAACGATCCTTTTCTTAAAAGATAAATTTTAATATACAGAATAAAATGCAAGATTTAAATATTCTCCACTTTGCCCAGAATTTGTGGACATGAATAGTTCTGAGCCTCACCAAAAAAGTTCTATTTTGGTCCAATACATTATCAGACTGATCAAGTCCAGCTTGATATTACAAATCAGAGAATTTACATTGAAAATCTGTTGGTTTTTGTAGATAGAGTTCTAATTTTTTCTTAACTAATAAAGACTTTACTCAACTCAGAACTAGATTTACAGTAAGACATCTTTTAAACAGCTGGTCATCATTTTAGGCTTACTCTAGCCAAATTATTTAATACTTTATTCAAGATTATAAAAAAATGCCACAATAAATAATGAAAAGAGTACATAAAATCACTAGCCTCTGTTTGCTAATACATGTCAGAAAAATACATGTCAGTTCTGGACTAAAATAATTCCATTGAAATATAAAAAGGAATAGGGAGGAATGAAAAGATTTGCAGTGACTGCCTCTGGAGGTTAGCTAGAACAAACCAACAACCATCAGCTGTTTTGCAAAGTGGAAGTAGATTTTAATTTGCAGATAAAGGATGTCTTCGGTAGTTTAAAAAAATAGAAACTCTAAAAAAGCTTGTGAATCATATACAAAAGCAGCTGTTTGACACCAAGGTCGAAATCAGAAACTGTGTTAGCACCACCGGCAAGCGCAGGGCCCTGTGACTCAAGGCCAACTTGTGGAGAAGGCAGACTTGAATATTGTACACATCATTCATTTACAGTTAGAAGACTTGGCCTTGAGCACTGGGTTCCTGGAGGGTGAAGTCTTAAGCCCTAAGAGGCACCAAGCGGTTACGAAGGCTAGGTAGCAATCAGGGTTACAAGTGCCGACGATATATTAAATCTCGAGTTGCTTTATCAACTTTTTGCTGGTAGTCTTCCAATTTGTCAAGTATTTTCTGAGACAACTGTAAGAGAAAGGAATGACATCATCATAGATTAGCCCAAGGCTGAAGGGGAGTGATGTTATTAACCTCTCTGAGTTCACCAAATACACTCTACCTAATAAAGCTGTTGCCCACTTTGCATCATTTAATCGCTATTACGCAGAGTCGGAAGGTGCTCTGGAGGAGAAGTGGTTACACGCCCAGCTAGAAACTGACAGATCATGATTTAAACCCACCAGCTGTCCCCCAGAAGACAGATGTGTCAGTATGCATCCAAGGACACAGTCACAGAGCCCCTTGGGGCAGTTCACACCCCCACACCTCCCCCCGATCCTATGCAGTCTGTAAGAACTGACTAGATAACATGGATAAGTAGAGTCTGCCTGTGACTCTACGGAGCTTGTGTTATAAACAACACTTCAATCCTGCTCTCCTAATGAATTTTCCATATATGCAGATTGGATCAGTATTTTTAACTAAACAAGCTGTCAAATAAAACACAGGGATAAAAGATAATCCTTGTTACCCTGTTCCTTAACCTCACTTGATAGACACAGCCAGAGGAACTAAATTTCATAGCTTTCTTCCTTTTCTCCTCTTGCCTGACAGATTGTTAGAAAAAACCCCCAACCACCTGCATTGTCATGACAGTAGTCCAGAACGAAGGCTGCACAGTGAAGTGGACTTGGGGGGAGGGATTTTATAAAAAATGAAAGAATTTTTCTTTTACTTTTCAACGAGAAGAGAAAACTGGTGGGGAATGGGTGGGCAGGGAGAAATTGCAACAATGAATGAATGGAAATCCAAAGTCTCTGTAAACTTTCATTAATTAATAAAAAACAATCAATCAAAACCCCAACCACCTACAAAAGGTACTGTCATTCGTTTTCTAGTTTAGCAGCATATTCTCAGGAGACACTGCCTAAGTATAACTGATAAACACATCATCAGTCCAACAGGTCTGTCTGAATTAAGGAAGCACTGACCTTTCCTCCTTTGGAAGAAACAGCTAATATAAAATTCCTGGAGAATGTGGTCGTATCTATAGAGTCCACTTTCAATAAATGAGAATCTACCATTCTGTACTTCAAGTATTTGTAAGTTTACCCTGTAGTGCGTGCCCTGCTAAGCTGTAAAGAATGAATGGACTGTGTGCCATTTGTCTCTGTGTAGTTAATGGCCACAGTTCCTCACTAGCTTTGCTCAATACACTAAGTTGCTTAGAGTCTTTGCTTTATTTATAAAGAGACTGGGACACCATGCAAAGGGCAATAAATGGCTTTTGTCCTCTCCTTAGTCCCTGAGAACTGAAGGGCATGCTGTAAAGAAGACTATCTCCACCAAAGGGTTTACTTACTGCGATGTTGTGACTGTTGGCACGGTTCTCTCCTAGAGCCTGGAGAAGCTGATCAATAGAGGAGTATGGAAGCCAAACCATCGGGGCAGTTGCAGATAGGGGAAACTAAAGAGAGAGAAAAAAAAATAAACAACTACTATTGAAAAAAAATTTTTAAAAATCTAAACTGTGTCCATTTCGCTTGGGTAGTTGCTTGCAAAAATCTTTGTAACGAAATGCTTTATTTATTCCTTCTTCACATTAAGAAAACTGCATATGTGCATGCACATAATTAGAGACTCTGCTTGCTATCTCTTTTTAAATGGCTATCCTTTTTTCAGTTAAACAGAATCTATTTCAGAATGATATTTCTTTATCTTAAGAAGTACTGAGGTCTATCTATTAAGGATAAAGATGGACCAAAACAGTCCTCTAAATTGTGGAAGAATGATACACTTTCCAGTAGGACATTTAGGTTCAAATGACAGGCAGTCCCTGGATTACAAATGAGATCTGTTCCTGTGTCTTTAAGAATTTGTAGGTCATTCAGAAACAGTGCATGCAGTTCTTATTTAGGCTTACATTTGTGCAAGAAAGAGATGCTGGTGGAACAGTAGGTTAAATTCTGGGCTGTTAACTGAAAGGATCTTTTGGACTCATCCCTGAGGGGAGGATGAGACAAGCCTCTGAAAACACATGGAGGGCGGTCATGAGATGGAATGAATTCTTCTGAAGCGGGTGGCATGGTGGTAAAACAAGAGAAGCAATCGCTCCTCAAACTAAATTTTTCACAATCAACTTCAACGACTGTACGTATGTTGTTGTTTTTTTTTGTACGTATGTTTTTAATTCATTGAAAAGGTCAGTGTAGTGGATTCAAACAGTGCACTATGCTTACAGTGCTCCTTTACCTGATTCACAATAAGGGCAAATGTGCATAAACATAAAATGGATTTTGAGATAAAAAGCATCACTTCTCTAAAAGATGAAGGCTGACCACTCCATTTTCAGTGTATATGGCTACTTAGCGTCTTGCCAATAATCCAGTTTCACAGATCAGGCTCCTTTCAAGTCTCCCTTCCAGGGTGTTGAACAATAAATTTTTCCATTCCAGTTGCCATGATCAATCACTTCAACTGTAAAAGCTCAGCCCTGTTTGTTTTGCTGCATTAACCATGACAGAACTATTTTGAATGTGTTTAAACCCCTCCTTAAAGGGGGAAGTAGGAACTATCCATAAATTGAACATTCATAACCCTGGGCATCCAGGGAAAAGACAATTAGAAAAGGAAAATTTGACTCTAAAAGTTCTATTAAGATTTTTAGTTAGCTAGATCTGGATTTTAATCCTGGTTCTTCTACTTACCTAGGAGCTATGGAAACAGACCTTTCTAGGACCCAGTTTCTTCAGGAGTTAAAA